AATGGTGGCTAGGGTTGCTAAGGGGGCTGGCTCGTGGGGTGGGTCGAGAAGGAGGGAGAGAGAAGGAGTGAGAATTTAATGTCATTTAATTATTATTATACTTTTGGAAAAACTACAGTAAACCCCCCAACCTATAGGGTCACTTACGAGTTCATACCCGATTTTGGGGACATTTACAAGTACATACTCAATGTCGCGGAAAACCTACAATTTGCCCCATCCGTTAGCCAAACTGTTAATGAATCTATTAAATGATGACGTGGCAAAATTGGAACCCCTTTTTTGATGACGCGGACTTCCACATGGACAAAAAACTAATAAAAAATTATATACATGTTAAAAATAATTTTTAAATCATATTAAAATCATTAAAAAATGAATAAAAAAAGAAAAAACAAATAAATTCTCATCTCTCTTCTCCAACCTAGCCAACCCTCTCTCCCTCCCCATCGTTACAGGCCTTCTCGAGCCCGTCCAGGCCGAATCGGCCGAGATCCAGGTCGTCTCTCTTCAGCCCCTTGACCGCCAGATTTTTGACGTCAATGACGTTCCAAATCTAGATCCGATGATGAAGCTTGAGCTTCCTGGACTCATGGCGAAGCTAAAGTTGCAGGAACATGGGCGGGTGTGCTGGACGTTGAGAACCCACCACCACCCATTTCTCTTCTGCGAAGAAGCTCAGGGCTCTAACAATCTAGGGCCGGCCTCTTGCGTTAGGCCTAGCTGGAGGCTTCTAGGTTGCTTTGATATAGCTAAGAGAGGAGGAGATTTCATGTCATAGCCAATACACCCGCAAAGGAGGCAAGGTTTCAAATTTGGACAAGGATTTTGCCAAAGCCATTCATTGGTGAAGCCCAGGACTGAGTGGGCTTAATAATCTTGTAATTAAGTGATTTTTAAAACAAATTTTTGGACTAAAGGTTATGAACTTGACAAAAAAACGTTGGACTAAAAGTTGAATTTTCGTTTTTCTGCAATATGGGATATGGGATTTCTAGAGTTGGCTCCTCAACGGTTGCACTCCTCGTGCAGCTTTTTTTTTCTTCTGGGTTTTTGGTTTTTTGGTTTTTGGGTATTCATGGTGAAGGGAGGGAGGAGAAGGTGGCAGACATGGGTCTGTAAATTTTCCCCTCCAATTCGTCTTCATCATCTAAATTGGCACTGGATTTTTTGGGCGGTGGCTGGGTTGGTGGGTTTTGGGAGATGGCTGGGTGGTTCTTTGAGCGGCTACAGGAGAGTGGTGTGGTATAAGGGTTGGTTTGGACTGGAGGATGTTGAAGTTTTTGGATCTGCCCGATGGGTCCCACTCTAACAATATCGATACTGTCCCCACTTTACCACCTGCCCAATCC